TTATGGAGACGAAGTTGCACACAAATCAAACCTCGCCTTCCACATACCCAACAACGATGAGAAACCCGAGGCTTCGCTTTATATTTCATATACACTGAAGAAAGAAAAAAATAAATAAAAAATGTGTGTGATATTAACTCTTGGTAAACGTACGATAATCTTCTCAAGTTTTGTATCATTTTTTTTAAACTAAAGAAACGAACAGAATATGTATATATGTATATACATCCTTTTCTTCCTCTTTTTGAACAATAATTAAAAAAAAAAAAAAAAAAAAAAAAAAAAAAACACCATTGTCATATACGTGACAGGCTAGTTTAGCCCAAAAATTTCACATTGGCTAATGTGTAGTAAACATAAACAATACTTTATAACTTATAACTGGTACTTTCCTTAATTATTTCCTCGCTTATTCCTTCTCTTTCCCTCCCTTCTCCTCTCCTTTCCCCCTCTTCCTTCTTTTCCCCTTTCTCCCTCTTATCATTTCTCTTCTATTTTTCCTTTCCAAACTTCCACATTAAACCTGTCGTTTTCAATAGTATCCCCAAGTTGAAAGCACGTGAAATCTCCTCCATGCAGCCTTCATTAATGGGGAGGTAGATGGGGATGAACATAAATTCATCTCTTCCATACCAATAGATCGCTGACAGAGCAATAATAAACAAGCCCTGCCAAACAAACCATCGGCCTGAAGAATCTTTTATTTTAAAAAAGAAACTCAAAGTTGTCACTTCATCTCCGATATTCAACATGTAAGGCATTATGGAGACGAAGTTGAACAAAAATCAAACCTCGCCTTCCACATACCCAACAACGATGAGAAACCCGGGGCTTCACTTTATATTTAATATACACTACGATTATATACCATAAATTATCAGGAAAAACAAAAAATGTGTGTGATATTAACTCTTGATAAAAGTACGATAATCTTCTCAATTTTTGTATCATTTCTTTAAAACTAAACAAACAAAATATGTAGGCCTATATATTTATATACATTAAACAAAGATCCCTCTCATAATATACCTGACATGCTAGTTTGACCCATACATTTCACATTGGCTAATGTATAGTTCACAATTCTTTATAGCTTGTACTTTTCTTTTCCTCGTTCCCCATTTTATCTAATTATTTTTCCTTTCTTTTCCCCTCCCTCCTTTCCCTTCTCCTTTCCTCCTCTTGTCTCCTATCTCTTTCCTCTCTCTTTCATCTTCTTCTATTTTTTTCTTTCCAAACTTCCACATTAAACCTGTCGTTTTCAATAGTATCCCCAAGTTGAAAGCACGTGAAATCTCCTCCATGCAGCCTTCATTAATGGGGAGGTAGATGGGGATAAAAATAAATTCATCTCTTCCATACCAATAGATCGCTGACAGAGCAATAATAAACAAGCCCTGCCAAACAAACCATCAGCCTGAAGAATCTTTTATTTAAAAAAAAAGAACTCAATGTTGTCACTTCATCTCCGATATTCAACATGTAAGGCATTATGGAGACGAAGTTGAACAAAATCAAACCTCGCCTTCCACATACCAAACAACGATGAGAAACCCGGGGCTTCACTTTATATTTCATATACACTACGATTATATGTCATAAATTATCAGGAAAAAAAAAAAGAAAAAAAATTTGTGTGATATTAACTCTTGATAAAAGTACGATAATCTTCTCAATTTTTGTATCATTTCTTTAAAACTGAACAAACAAAATATGTAGGCCTATATATTTATATACATTAAACAAAGATCCCTCTCATATACCTGACAGGCTAGTTTGACCCATACATTTCACATTGGCCAATGTATAGTTCACAATACTTTATAGCTTGTACTTTTCTTTTCTCAATTTCCTATGGAAAAGAGAAATCTTAATAACATATTAATTGGTGTAACATTCTTGATTACATAACTCATCAGCTATTACCACACTCTTTTTTTTGTTTACGAGAATGATATGAAAGGCATAAAGTAAATCTTGGAATATTATTCATCTTTGTCATAGGAACCTATTTTACAGTAACAAAATGGTCTTTGACCTATTAAATGGCTGCACATTATGTTATTCTGTGTCCATGCCTGACAATCACTTTGAAGTTTATAAGTCAATCCTGGTTGCAGTTACTGTCTGAGTTAGGGTGAATCTCGCTGCTCATTCGTACAATTCTACACCATCATAATATGCTCTTGTAGGTAGCGCTTGCCTTTAGTATCTTATTAAACTCTTCTTTTGGCTGAAAAAAGTATTCACATTAACTTGCACATAATTTAATCTACAACTGATTTCCAGTGAAAACAATACATGTAGCTCGCTTTTTGCTTCTCACACTGTAAAAAATACTTATCTGAAAACAGATCGTGGTAGGTCTCCTTGTAATCACAAACAAAATCATGAATTAGGGGTAGCTGGAAGTTCAGGTTCTCCATAAGTCGTATGACATCTTGACTTGAGGCATGTCGTAGTAGAAACGAGAGCTTTACACTTGTTACATAAAACTTTTTCCTTCCTGGCGTAATGAAGTGCTCGATTTAGAGCTGTAGGATTCAAACGAAGATTGTCGAAACGTGATTTCCATTGAAAACAATACATGTAGCTCGCTTTTTGCTTCACACACTGTAGCACATCTATGAAGTAAAGGATACTTATCTGAAAACAGATCGTGGTAGGTCTCCTTGTAATCACAAACAAAATCATGAATTAGGGGTAGCTGGAAATTCAGGTTCTCCATAAGTCGTATGACATCTTGACTTGAGGCATGTCGTAGTAGAAACGAGAGCTTTACACTTGTTACATAAAACTTTTTCCTTCCTGGCGTAATGAAGTGCTCGATTAGAGCTGTAGAGTTCAAACGAAGATTGTCGAAACGTGATTTCCATTGAAAACAATACATGTTGTAGCTCTCTTTTTGCTTCACACACTGTAGCACATACTTGTTACATAAAACTTTTTCCTTCCTGGCGTAATGAAGTGCTCGATTTAGAGCTGTAGGATTCAAATGAAGATTGTCGAAACGTGACTCAATATCCCTTCTCCTCCGCTTCCATTCGGGAGCACTTGCCTCTCCATAGGCCGTATGACATCTTGACTAGAGGCATGTCGTAGCCAAATCGAGAGCATTGTCAGATGACACTTGTTGCATACAACTTTTTCCTTCCTGACATATTGATATGCTCCTATTTTGTAATGATTTAGAACTGTAGAACTCATACGAAGATTGTCGAAACTTGACTCAATATCCCCTCTCCTCAGCTTCCATTCGGGAGCACTTGCCTCTAATTTCTTATTAATCTCTTCTTTTGGCTGAACAGAGAATATTCCCTTTAGTCCCTGCTTTAACATTGCACTGTATCTTCCCATGTGTAAAGAGTAACTCGACGAACGAAACCGACTCGATCTGCAGATTTCCCGCATGAACTAAACTTTAGGTGACGCACAACTCAACAACAGTAGTCCGAAAACTTGCATTTAATTAATCTTCAGCTGATTTCCATTAAAGACGGTGCTCGACTATCCGAAATCAAATCGTGGTAGGTCTTCTACTTGTTATCACAAACAAAATCATGGCTTTGGGGTAGCTGTAAATTCAGTTCTCCATAGGCCGTATGACATCTTGACCCTCCTCTCGCAAACCTTGGATGAATCTTTGGTGGGCTGCCACTGGCAGCCACACCTTGTTTATGAATAGTTTGCTTGGTTCAGACTTTGAGAAGTACGCAAGTTTGCCTGCTTTTCTTGCCGCAAAAAGAGCTGGCATCTGCTTTTGCCTCAAATTCCTCATTCTCAATGGGATATCTTCCCGTATCGAAAGCCTTGTCCCTTTCAGGTTTCTCGCATTCTTCATAATGGTGTCCCTGTCCCTGTATCGAAAGAAGCGCGCCTTAATGGGGCGTGGCATGGTTTTCGTCATGATCCTATGCACCCTCTGATATTCTACGGCATCGGCCTCTTCTTCTGACATCTTCAAATTATTAATGTAGAAATCCTTCATAACTTGTTTGATGTCTTCTCCTTCCTTCTCTGGTAGTCCCATGAAAATAAGGTTCTCTCTTGCCACGTACACGGCAAGTTTGTCAATTTCCATTTGAAGAGCCGCTTCATTTTCCATTGCTTTCGCTTCCATCATCCTCATTTTCTTCTTAATCTCATCCAACTCCTTACTTTGAAAATCAATTGCTTCCTTTAAATCTTTGAATTGAGATTCAATATGCTTCATTTGCTCTTTAATGTTAGCCTCCAGGGAAGAGAATCTTTCTCCTAATCTCTCTGTCTGCTGCTCCAGCAGCCGTCGGAGAGTCGGAAGCAGGTTTGTATCAGGGCTTGGGGGGCTTGAACCGGCATCAGCTCTCGGTCTCTTCGTAGATCCTTTTCCTGTATTACGTAAGTTGCTGGCCATATTTTCTATCACGCGTTCCAATGGGATTCGGGAGAGGCTCGAAAAACTCGTGTCTACTCTACGAACATCACAAACACCAGACCTTGTGGCTCTGAAAAGAGCCGTTTGTTATTCTAGCCAGGAGAGAGAGAGAGGTCTGCTACACTTAGCCGCCGAAGCCGTACAATGTACGACCCTGCCTCTTCAGTGCATACACCACGTCCATGGCTGTGACAGTCTTTCGCTTGGCGTGCTCGCAGTAGGTGACTGCATCACGGATGACATTCTCCAGGAAGACCTTCAGTACACCGCGTGTCTCTTCGTAGATGAGACCAGAGATCCTCTTGACACCTCCCCTTCTAGCAAGTCGACGGATTGCAGGCTTGGTGATGCCTTGGATGTTATCTCGTAGAACCTTGCGATGACGTTTGGCACCACCCTTTCCGAGTCCCTTTCCTCCTTTTCCTCGACCTGACATGATGATGATGATTGATAGTTGAGAGCGAGTTCTGTGTGATCCTGTAGACTGGATATTACGCTAAGCGAAATCTTACGCTAAGCGAAATCTACATACATACATCCACGCACGCACGCACACACACGCAAACACGCACATACGCACGCTTACCTCGGCATAGCTTATTTTGTTGAGTGTCTTCGTCAGCTGGAAAGCCTTGTCGATGGGGTCGTTATAGGCTTGAGTCACGTAAGCAGGGGTAGCTATGGCGCTGTACTGCTCCACGAGACCAACCGATTGGAGGAGGCTGTCGACCGTGGTCGCGCCGCCCGAGCCAGAGGCGTACTTTGTCTCCGGTATACGAGCACCGGCATCGAGGAGTCTCTGTATAGTGGTATACAATAAGGAGATGCAAAGTTACATGAGGACGATGGATTTCTTCTTCTTCTTCGTCTTCATCTACATCTACATCTACATCTTCATCTTCTTCTTTTTCTTCATCTTCTTTTTCTTCTTCTTCTTCTTCTTCTCCTTCTTCTCCTTCTTCTTCTCCTTCTCCTTCTTCTTCTCCTTGTCATTGTTTTCATATGTATATAGCCTGCGCCTAAGAAACAGAGAGGGGTGCGGGGCACATAGATACACAACATGCAGACTTCACTTTTCCGCCTGGGTTGGATTTGAACCCACAATCTTTGGTTCGACAGTCAGACGCTTTACAGACTGAGCAAACTCTCCCCCTTTTGGGTTTTGATTAAGAATTCAGAACAAGGGAGAGAAATTATGAAAAGGACAACAAAAGACTAAACACAGCAAGTATAGCAAACGTGTATCAATCGGGTATGGGAAAGTGAAAGAGAATTAGATAGATGTATGTATATACATGTATATAAAACAAATAATTCAATTTGGGTAACCCTCCGTCACGGTAATATACAAATCATATACATTATATAAGAGAGAGAGAGAGAGAGCGAGTGAGATGGGCCCCTAAAGCATGCCATTTTAAAACTGACATGAATTATCATTAATTTAAAAAGGATATTTATAATAGTCATACTTACGCGACATAATGAAGAATATTGCGTATATATACACAAGTTAGGAAGTAAGAAATGATGATTAAAAATCCAAAATGTATTTCACATTTGCAATATTACAGTAATATTTATCTGCGTTCGTTTTGCAGTGAGAAGCCATTTCGCATACACCTCATTAATAAATGCGTTCATTTCATTTGCTGAGAGGCGTGATAGTGTTTGCGTTTGTAGTTGCTTGGTCGGTCAAGCATTTCCTTAAAAAAAAACAGTCCCTATTTTACACGAGAACTGCATAGGGCCTTTGTGTCCTATGCGCCCCTGACGTTGAATGATTGACCGGAAGATAATTACAACCGCATTTGCTTTATTAAAAAAAAGAGAAACATGCATCCATGGGCCAATCTACAAGTTCCGTCGTTAAAGGAAAATGAAACCCTACAAAGATTAGCCCAAAGCCTTTTGAAAAAGTGTGAGCCAATTGAAAATATCCTTGAATTACTGATATCTTATAACTTAGCATAAAGACAGCCTTTCCCAATATCGCAGTTTCCTTGCTAGCCATTCTCTCATGGAGTCGCCATTTTGATTGAGTATAGTTAAGTCAGAGTAGTTCACCTTTAGAGCTACCTACTGACCTTGTTGGTGTTGTTACATTGTAGGACCATTAACCCAATGAAATACATGACAATGGTTTTCTAATACATATATATTTTTTGTAATGCATTCAAAGGTAAAGGATATTCTCTCATCAACTTTGGTGATACGCTATTTGGTTCAGCTGTTTCAAACACTTGGACAGTGACAAAGATATTCACAGAACTGCTTAAAGACATCACCTCAGTGTATCGGATGTAGGAGTAATAAGATAGCTGCTGCTTGAATCGATTGCTGTAGATGTACAATACCCAGTTGTTATGCAACACCCTGTCAATTTTACGAAGGTCAATGGACATGCACATCTCTGAGATCACCTTTTTTTAAAGGCAGCTCCCATGGGAGAATGGCTAGCAAAGAAAATGCACACTTTGAAAAGATTGTTTACCTTGCTATGTAATCAAATTTCAAGATATTTTGACTTGCTGAAAGATTTGAATAAGATTTTCAGCTAATTATCCTTTAAAGGGGAATAGACCCTTATCTGGTATCAATATAATTAGAAGAACGAGTTTAACTTAATTAGTAGAACACTGATTCAGGATTAAAAGTAATCTAGATTACAAATACACCGTATGGACACGGTTTCGGTCACGTGACTCACCTTCACGATTGAGTAGTTGTTCTTTTGGGCTGCTCTCATGATAGGGGTGAGGAGAGGGTGGAAGTCACTCCCCTCGCAGCGACAGTTGATGATGCGATCCCGCTCGTCTTCTGGCTGTCATGACAACAGAGGATGCGAGTAAGTTCATTACACGAGATATGCTTAAACTATGTCATAATAGTCGGGAACACTCTGAACCGTCTTTTAATGAAGACCCCAAAAATGGTTTCATATACAAAATCCTAAAAGGGCCTAGAGGAGGGGTAAAGGGGAGGGATAATGGGGCAGGGGCGTACTCGTTAGTGTGATCAACATGGAAAACGTGAAATAATAACATAGCAAAAATAAACAATGATGAAACAAATATATACTGAATGCATGATATATATATATATATATATATATATATATATATATATAAGAGAAAACAGTTGAGGGACAGATATAGAGGGGGATGGGATGAGAGAGAGAGAGAGGGAAAGAGGGGGAGAAAGAGAAAGGGAAAGAGGGGGAGAAAGAAAGAGAGAGATAGGGGAAGAAAGATAGACAAGGACGGAGCTGACATAGAAAGTGAAAGAGAGCGAGAAAGATGGAAAAAGGGAGAGAGGGGAAAAAGAGGCGAGAGAGAAAAAGAGGGGAGAGGGAAAGAGAGGAGAGAGAGGGGAGGGGAGAGAATGGTGGGGCAGAAAACAAACCTTTTGCTCAGCATATTCGAGAAGGCACTTGACGGCATGTTCGAACTCGGTCTCGGCTGCCCTTAAGAGGGCGTCACCAACGAGGACGTCGAGACGAAGAAGTTCCGTGATGATAACTGCCATGGATTAATAACAAAATTAATAATAACTATGTTCCTTAATATTCGAAGCAGTAGCAACAACAGGAACACAAATAAATAACAATAATATCAACGATAACAACAATAATCATAAAAATAATTATACGAGAAATGAAATAATAATAATAATAATCATACGAATAATAATAATGATAATGATAATTATTATAGTGATAAAATCGATGACAATAATGTTAATGACAATGACAAAGACGACAATGATGATAATACGAAAAGAAAATATAATTGTTAGTTTCTTCTTCTTGTTAGTTTACCATTGAATGTTTGGAGTGTTATTGTTATTGACATTAATGTCAACTATCTCTGACAGAATAGCATCACCTCGTGCAGATGAAAAGGACTGCCAGTACAGTTCAATTATTTTTTATATAATACAACAATAGTTAATGCATTCACGCCCTTTGAGTCAATTTTCGTGACCCACTTTTGTGCAGTTTCACTTTGGAATAATGATTTTTCATCAATATTAGATACCTGTAACAGAGATACAAAGGTATGATTGGTCCACAAGTGATATCGATTTCGAATATCATAATTAATTTCACTCACGGTCAGTTTTCAAAGTTATATTGATAAACCGGTTAAATTGTTTATATTTTTGTGTCATACAGTATTGAAGAATCCGTACCTATTGTTTGCATTGTCTTAGGCATGCGCATTTGAATCGGAAAGCTGGATGGCTCGAGATAAAAAGATCAAGACTTGAAATCGCAATCACTCTTCGTTCATACAAAGTGTCATCAAGACTATCTATTATAAGACATATTGACTGGTAGGGTGGGTATAACATTTGTGGACAGCACAGGAGTAATAGGGACTTTCAGATTTGCACGTCGACATAGTGGACTGCTACGTGACGTCCTTTTAAGGCACTGGCAATGCCTTAAAAGTAGGTCACAGTAGCAGTCCACTATATCGACTTGAAAATCTAAAAGTTCCTAGTATCAACTCTGGTGATCAGATTTTCTCTCAGGGCTGAGCGCTTCGTGAAAATACTACCCCTCTAAAAAAAAAATTATAAAATACTTTCGACGGTCCAAAAAATGTTATATTACACACCCTACCACACAGTGGTTACCCTACACAGTATATATATGTGTGTGCATATATTTTCTTTTCAACATGGTGTTTTGTATGTCATTTTACAGTAATTCTTTATATCCCCTAGACAGCCAACTATGAAATGGAAACATAACCAACGCTACTGTATACTCAATGCCTGTGATAGATCTAAGGGACTATATCTTTGTCAGGGTTTTTTTGGAGGGGGGATAGGGTGCAAAGTAAAGGTTGCCCCTGAAAGAGACTGCTCACCAAATGCCTTCATTTTCTACTTGTGATGACAAAATTGTGTGGACAAACACTAATGCATCATGTGTGCCTTTGATGATTGACGTTTTGTCCCACATGCTCATTCATGCGCGCAGTGCATGTCTTTGTCATCATGCAGGCGCGGATCCAGGATTTCTTAGGGGGGGGGGGGCCTAATTTGAAATTATGCGAGCCAAATATTGGTACATAATGGTGACCAGCAGTGACGTAATGCAGGGGGATGAAGGGAGGGGCGAGTTTCCCCCTCCCTCCTCTGCAAAGCGCGGAAGCTATATATGACGTTTCATTAAATCATTGACGAAAGAAAACGATTCGTTGTACCGTTCTCGACTCTAAATACTTGTCTTAATTCAGTCCCCCCCCCCCCTCCGCGAAGCGCGGAAGCTTTGACGTTTCATTAGATTATTAGAGATAGAAGACGATTCGTTGTACCGTTCTCTATACTCTTAATTCTTGTCTGAATTTCAAAGATGTTTTTTTGTCTGCTCCTTTTTCTCCCTACGTCCTCTTCCTTTCCTCTCCTCTCTATTTTTTCTATCCCCCCCCCCCCCTGGCTACGCGCCTGCGGTCAGATAAACAAATTTTGATACCTTGTCCGACCCGAGAAGCTCAGGGGTTTTAGGCATTTGATTACGGTCAGATGAACATATTTTTATACCTTATTTGTGACACTGGCAGGATACTAATTGGCGTGAGGTCCAGCGGGCGAAGCCCCCAGAAAACAGGGGTTTTAGGCATTACATTTCCGTCAGATTAGCATCCAGGGGAGTCTAGGGCCCTAGGCGGGGTGCAAGGGACGGAACCCCGGAAGCTCAGGGGTTTTTATGCGTTTAATTTCGGTCAGATGAGCAGCTAGTTAACTATTCTTTCTTTCTTGCTTTCTTTATTTCTATTTCTCCTTACTATACCTTTTCAAAAAAAAAAGTGGAGGGGGGGGGGGAGCTCGAGGCTTGCGATTCCAGCCGATCACATTGTTACATGCGTGCACAATAATATTGATGTGTCAACCTTACGAAAGAGGTGTTTTCATAATGATTATTGACCTCCTTTAAATTCATATTTATATGGAAGACTTAAGAAGACAACTGTTTACAGTCCAACTAAGGGTGTAGAGCATGCCGTGTAGACTAAAATGTGCAATGTTGTTCAATTTCTGAATTCTTTGTTTAAAAAACTTGCTTGCTGTCAATAGTGTATACATTTTTTATACGTTTCTAATGTCTAGTCCGGTTAAAAATAGCACGTAATGATTTAATTATTTGACACGTACTTCACATTGATTTATCTTATCGATAAGCGAAACGATTTGCTTTAGTATCATATAACAAATATAACAGTAATGACAAGTATGGTTTTCCTGAAAATTGCATTATACAATGTATATTCATCGTTATGGAAAATGTTGTATACTATACAACAATGGGCATTAACATTTTCCAGACCATTGATTTAATTACGTTTAACATTGAAGCTGTTGCCCTTTGTATATACATGAACTTGAAATAATAAGTAGCCTTGAAAGTGTCGCAATAAATCATGTGTGAGTGAGCTTGAAGTTTAATGGTGTAGGTTTGTTTGAAATTGTATGGAAAATGTTGTATAATATACAACAATGGGCATTAATATTTTCCAGACCATTGGTTTAATTACGTTTAACATTGAAGCTGTTGCCCTTTGTATATACATGAACTTGAAATAATAAGTAGCCTTGAAAGTGTCGCAATAAATCATGTGTAAGTGAGCTTGAAGTTTAATGGTGTAGGTTTGTTTGAAATTGTATGGAAAATGTTGTATAATATACAACAATGGGCATTAACATTTTCCAGACCATTGGTTTAATTACGTTTAACATTGAAGCTGTTGCCCTTTGTATATACATGAACTTGAAATAATAAGTAGCCTTGAAAGTGTCGCAATAAATCATGTGTGAGTGAGCTTGAAGTTTAATGGTGTAGGTTTGTTTGAAATTGTATAGCCTTTACTCTGTTTTTAATGAGATATATCTCCAATCAAATCAAATCAAACTGAGTGATGTTATCGTACAACTAAACAATATCAATCTTCTGTTCTCCTAAATAAGCCCGGGAAACTTGAAAATTGCATTACAATGTGAATTCATTGTCAGTGAAAATGTAATACAATACACGACAATGGGCAAATAATTGTTTCCAGACCAATGATTTAAGTAAGAAGAACTTACATTTTATATTGAAACTGTTGCTGTTGTATATACATCAGGCGCGAATCCAGGATTTCTCATGGGGGGGGGGGGGGGGGGGAGGGGGGCATAATTTGAAATTATGCGAGCCAAATATTGGTTCGTAATGGTGACCAGCAGTGACGTAATTGGGGGTGGGTGGGTGCAGGGAGGGGCGAGTTTCCCACTCCCTCCTCCGCGAAACGCGGAAGCTTTGACATTTCAATAAATTATTAGAGAAAGAAGACGATTTGTTATACCGTTCCCAAAAAATAATCCTCGTCTGAATTGAGTTTTCCCCCTCCCGCGCTAAGCGGAAGCTTACGTTTCATTAAATCATTAGAGAAAGAAGACGATTTGTTGTGTCGTTATCCCCTTTTTTTCTTTTCTTCTTCCTCTTTTTTCCTTTCTTGTATCTCCTCTTTTCCTTTTTTCTTTCCCTTTCCTTCCTTCCCTTTTATTTTTTGATTGGGGGGGGGGGGCAACAGCCTGGGAGGCAAGTCCTTTTGCCCCCCGCCCCCCGATCTACTTCTTCCCTCTTTTCTTTTCTTCTTCCTCTTCTTTTTTCCCTTTCTCTCCTCTTTCCCTTTCCCTTCTTTCCTTCTCTCTCTCTCTCTCCCTTTTTTTTTTGCGGGGGGGGGGGGGGGGGGGGGCTAGGCTCGCTCGGCCCCCCCCCCCCCTGGATCCGCGCCTGTCATCATGATCCAGTCCATTACTTATCATTACGACGATTCCTAAACCTCTGAGTGTGCACAAATTCGGGTGTGCTATATATACGACTAACCTTTGCGAATCGCTTTCAGTTTATATCACAATGCATTTGCAGAGAAAGAGAACGCTCCAAAGTTCAGTTATATACAGTTGATTAGATGCAGTAGCCCGGTTAACACATTCACATTGCGTGCATATTCTTTTCTAAAAGAAGGTTGTTCTTGACAAGTTATCTGTGTAGACTGGATTTCAAGTATCGTAGTTTATTAATTAAAAACAGGTTGATGGAATATCAAACACGTCACTAGGTCCCCATGAATAAAACATCCATCAATTTGAATATGTTAGTAAACCGGTCGTTTTATGCAGTATGACCTTTTGAAGATGGTACATATGAAGACGAACAAGGTTTCATTTGTATCTTCAAGATTGGGGCTTTGAATAAATTGAGCAGGCACAATGGTCCTTAAACCCGAAAGGAGGGGGAGACCTTAACAAAGGGACGCCTTAGTAGTATAGGGACACCTTAGCACTAAAATTGATTCCCTTAATAAACCCATTGGTTACTGCTTCATAACGTGTCCCATAGTTTTAATGCAGGAACCGCCAACCTCCAGGAGGCAAAGGGCTACCATCTTCGAAATAGAAGGTTCTTGTCATGGAATAACTGTATAAAGAAAAGGAGTGATGACCCACAACGGTTGATTTCTGTAGT